GGAGGTGGGGTGGGGGGGGCAGAATAGCTGTATTTGCCTGTTAATCAGCATGGAAGAAAGAGTGTGAGTAATTATTGGCTTATGGTATTCTTCATGCATTTTCTGTATTTCAAGGCTGGTTTGGCGGAAGTATCATGAGTGAGTTTCAAACTTATTTTCGAGACAGAAATGCTGGTAATGGGAAACACCTGTTGTTAGTTCATCTATGACAATGTTTTGTCTAAGCTTTGCTGGCTGAGGAATTCTGGGAGTTGAAGTCCACAAGTCTTAAAGTTGCCAAGGTTGGACACCCCTGGTCTAAGTAGTAAGAGGCATGGTAATCCCTTCTCTTCAGATGTAACTAAAAGAAGGCATAGAGGTAAGGTATGCTTCACAAAGCACCCTTTTTCCTACACACCAGGGATGTCAAACTCATGACATCACATGATGTATCACAATTTTCCCCCCTTCGCTAAGCCAGGGATGGGCGTGATGCATCCAGCTAGTTTGACAGCCCTTCCATACACAATTTGATGTGCAGAGGCTACAACAGGTGTGACACAAGTAATCTGTACTGGAATTTTCTGACTTTAAAAATGTTTTCATTATATTGCTTTTAATTTTAAAGCAGCTCAAGCTGAGGAGAAATTTGGTGTTAATGAGATCAGTAATGACAGCAGTTCAAGCATTTAAAATACTTCAGCTGTACTCTATTTTCCAATCAAAACTCCATCCCATTTCATCTAAGGGCAATCTGCTGATATATGTAGCAGGATCATACTACAGGTTTCTTTTCTCAGTGGAAGGAGAGCAGTTTTAGAAGAAGGAATATAATAGAACTGCGGAGTATCATTTGCTTATCTCCCATCCCATCTCCATGCATGGCCTTTTAACCTAAAAAATAGAAGATACAATTCATGTAGTTCGAGGTCTCATACCAGGTCTGATATGAGACTAAGCCCCATTAAAACAGTGGTGTTTAATTTTCTGGATTCATACAGTAAATGTCCAGATGGAATGCAATTCAGACATCATCTGCCACAGATCTATGCTGCAGAAATCTAGATCTTAGATAGCAGCAAAGAGACGTGAAAAAAACCAATCCCTTTATTGTCATTCATTGGTAGTCTGGATTTTTGTAACCCAGATCAGTTAGCCCTTAATATGCCTGCTTTAGTGCTGTCAACACCTAGTAGCAACCATCTCGGATTAAGATTCCAGCCTTCCTCTACATCTTCAGCTCTGGCTTATTTATTCAAAACAAACACCAAAACACCAGAATTCTTTCATTCCTTTCCTTTTAACAGCACCCGGTATGGTTTTCCCCCATTTCTGCCCTCTGCTTCTCCTCCAGGAAAAGGCTCTGGGAAGCATCTTATTGTTTGCATTTTGGACCAGCTGCTATTGCAGCTTCACTTCCCAGAACTGCTTGCTGGTGTTTGTTCCTGGCTGCTCACGGGCAGCTGCTATGGGGCAAGGAAAACTCCCTCCCTCCCCGTATTGCAGCATATACTGCAAGACACTGCTTATTCCCAAGTTCAGACTTATCATATCTGTGATCTTCTTGCACTGGGAAAAGAGATAAAGGAGACTTACAATGGAGTTCTGAGGCTGGAACATTCAGGCATGGTAGAAAGACCTGCCAAGACCTCAGCTCTAACACACAGTAATACGGACTGATCTCGTCGGGCAACCAGCATTGAGCACAGAGAAATAGGGAAGATGAGGCACTTTATTTTCTGCCAAACATTTTGCATAAGAAACAGAACGATTACTATAATAATTCAATATGTATACATCTGTACGTTTAGCACTTTGGTTTTATCCATTTCTAAGAAACACATTTGTGGTTATTCGATATTTATCCCATCTTTATTATTTTTATAAGTAACTTGCTCCTCCTCTTTTCCCCACACAACAACCCTGTAAAGTAGGCTGGGCTGAGAGAGTGACTAGCCCAAAGACACCCAGCTGCTTTTTGTGCCTAAGGCAGGACTAGAACTCATAGTGTCCAGGTTTTTAGACAAACACCTTAACCAAAACACCAAATAGGTTCACAACTTATTGCTATTATTGAGCATCATGATGAACACGTAAGCACTGCTTTGAATGCAGCCAACAAGGAAGTTTTATGCATATAGTCATCATTTTGTTCCTGAAATGTTAATACACTATAGTGTGGAAACTGATTCAAGTTAGTACCTTAATGGCTTCTTCGATTTACTTTTCAAAAATCACTGTTTGAACTCTAAAGCTGCTGTTAACACACTGAAAATTTAGAGCATAAGAGAAATTATAATTTAAATAAAAGAGCTTGAGTACATTAATACAGGGTGTACTGTATATTCTATACTATTTATTTCTATTTCAATTATACTAACATATAGGCAATGCAAACCCATGCAACCACGCTAGTGCACAATTTCCATTGCATTCGTAACAGAACTGTGTATTCTTCAAAAATCATTTGAAAGAAGAGTTTTGGACCACTTGCAAGCATAACTTCTCTGTTATTTATTAATGCAGCCTGTCTTTGAAAGCCTGGGAAGGAGAGTTGTGGTTGTTTTAAGAGTTGTGTTTAATGAGTCAATTGCTTAAAACAATACCATCTTTTTTCAGGTTCCCATAACAGCCTGGGAAAAAAAAATGGGCTGCTTCAATTAAGAGATCCCAATCACTTCTTCAAAATCATTTTTAATTACTCTGAATGCTATTGGGAACAACCTGGGTCTCATACATAAATAACTGCTGTTACTTTACCTGGTTATAGATTCTCTAAATAAAGCTTTAAATGTTGCCGTTTCATCTTTCATATGAGTCATTATTTTCTGCAATAACTTTTATGATGCAAGTGCATAAATACCCATGTACACACATAAAATGTTTTGAAAAATTTCAGTCAGACAGTATTCATTGCGCATTCATCCCTTCTGAGCATCTATGCCTCTCACATTATACATGCTTATTGTGGGAAATGTCACTCGAACTGCAAAGTACACAAAGGTTGCATAAAGTAAGCCTTACACAATCGCTATACAAAAGGCTATTTCCTCCATACTACAGAGCTGTTCCAGCCTGCACTTCACATTTCTCACACGCTAGGGAAAAAAATGACATGAGTTGAGCCACAATTGGAGCCCATAATTTTATTCGGAAGGTTTCCTCAATCCTCCTGTTTTCTTGCAAAACACTCTTTCCCTTAAGAGTTGCAGCTGCAGCACATCCAGTCATTGGTTCACTCAGTAATCTGACCTGTTTCCCTGAGCCCCGAGGCACCAAATTAAAGCAAAGAAGGGGGAGGGGTTCTTGCTTTTCTGGTTCCCAATGTTTCTCTTCCCTGCAGCTCCTCTGGAAAGGGCAAGTAAGGATAGAATATGAACGCAATCCCTGGGAGGGGAAAAAAATAATAAGGATGCACCGGACAATCCAACACCAAACCTCTCCCCAGTCCAAGGGCATCCAGCCAAGCTCCACTAAATGCTGAAGTTGGAGAGAGGAAGGGACACCTTCTGCAAAGCAAATGCTTTCCAATATTTATATTTAGATTTCTGTCGTCTCTCCTCAGAGACTGGGAAATGCCTTTTGACTGACACCAATGCAACCAGAGGGTTTCCCAGGCTGCTTCATGCATGTTTTAGCTCTGCTGATAAGTGCTGGTGTATTTCTGTGGTTGCTTTGTAGATACCCAGGTTGAGTTAATAGGAGGGAGAGGTTTTCTTCCAGGTAGAAGAAAAAGCTTTGTGGAAAATATGCACAGGAGTCACAAGTGGCACTTCCAGATAAATGGCCCCTTACTGTTACCAAACAAAGGATATTGGACAGCTCATTCCATTTTGGTTTGATTACTTTAAAAACAGGAATAGAAGAAAAAGATTTGGAAGAAGTCATGTGGAGCGCAGTAAAATTCCATCAACAAAACACAGCACCCTAATTCCTGCTTGAGGTCTGATGGGAAGCAGTTTTTGTTGCATTTACAGGTTTATCCCACAAAGGTTGATTTCCTCCTGCCCTTTTCAATGCCTCGAGGCCCCAAATAGCTCATAACAAGTCCTATTTCCCGTTCTTTTATGGAAGCTCTTTGGACTATCAGCAGTCCTGGGTATAATATGGGGCTGCTGACATTCTGGGTAGTCAGTAGGTACGCAAATATGCCAATTTAGATTTCTGTTCTGGCAAATTCTTTGTAATCTCTTTATCGCCAAGCCCTATTTAAAAGGCTAAAAAGAAACCTCATCCCAGACCCTCAGGAATGGCATTATTTGCCAAACATGAACTTCTCAAAAGGAAACGTTGAGTTGTGCCACTCGGGTGACCTGAGAAGCCCTTGACTTCTTACTCATGCCAGTAAACGTCCATTATATCCCAAGAAGGGCGCCCTCTAGCGTGGGTCACCCACGCGGGTTCTCAGCCATCGTTACCACACAATATGAAAAAGGAACTAGCGGGGGGTGGGAAGGGGTCTCAAGCGCTTTGGAAAGATGGCTGTTTTCGAAGATATGCAAAAGAGTGACTGGAAGAGCCACAAAACCACATTAGGAATGAAGGAACTTGAGATGACACGCGAGTTTGTTTGAGCGGCAACGCCAGGTCTTTCGGGCTCTCTTTTCCCACGCGCTTTTTCCCCGGGAAGAGGCCTGGGGGGGGGGGGGGGGGAAAAGCTCGCCGCAAGGCAGCCCCGGGCGTTGCTCAGCGCGTGGAAGTCCTCCGCTCGCGCGTCCCCAAAGATCGCCCCTTAGAGGGAAAAGGCGGCCGCCTCTGCCCGCGGGCCGCAGGGAGCGACGTGACTCCAGCCTCCCCGCTGGTTCCTTGGAGCGAGTGGCGGGCCGAGAAGCGGCCAGGACAGGGAGGGAGCGGGGGAGGGGAAAGGAGGCCTCGCTGCCCGGAATGGGCTGGCCGCTGCCTGCCTGGCTGGCTGGCTGCCTGGGACGCGCTCGCCCTCCCGGCACAACCGAGTTCCAGGAACCACGAGGCGGGGCCAGCGGATGCTCTCTATAAAAGCCTCCGATAGGCGCTCTGGCAGCTTTGTAAAGTAGGACAAGCTAAGCGCGCCAGATCGCTCTTCGTTCTGCCTCGCCAGCAGCCGCGCTCTGCCAGCAGCTTGGATTCCCCCCGCGTCTCTTTTCTCGCCCCCCAGGTAACCCCCGACTCTGCGCCGATCTCTGGAGAAATAGCCGAACGACCACGGTCCCGGGCTGCTACAGGCCAGGGGATGGTCCCGGGGCGCCCCTGGAGCGTACCCGCCGAGAGAAAGCAACGCGAAACGGGGAGCCCGGAGCCGGCGAGGGGGATGGGTTGCGTGCGACCGGAGGGGAGGCCGAGTAGTTACTCTTGGGGATCCATCCCAGGGAGGGATGCCCTCTGAGGTAGCATTTGGCCCAAGAGGCAGTGACCAAACCGGGGGACTATCTTGGCGATACGGTAGGAGAGTAGCTTTCCAGTCCTGAATGACGGGGAAGATGCAGTGAATTGGGCCTGCAGGGGCGAAACGGTTGTTTGAGGTGCTCTTTGTCCTAAAGTATTTTCTCCCCTCCGTTCACAGGTACTCATCCTAGCAGCCGCTGCGCGCTTGGCAGCAGCCCAGATTACTTGCAAAGCTGGCTCCCTGCGCCATGGTCACCCACAGCAAGCTCCCCAGTACAGGGATGAGCCACCCGCTGGACACCAGCCTGCGCCTCAAAACGTTCAGTTCCAAGAGCGAATATCAGCTGGTGGTGAACGCTGTGCGCAAGCTGCAGGAGAGTGGCTTCTACTGGAGCACGGTGACAGGAGGTCAAGCCAACCTGCTCCTCAGCTCCGAACCCATCGGCACCTTCCTCATCCGTGACAGCTCAGACCAGCGCCACTTCTTCACTCTGAGCGTCAAGACTGAGTCGGGCACCAAGAACCTACGGATCCAGTGTGAAGGAGGCAGCTTCTCACTCCAGAGTGATCCCCACAGCAGCCACCCTGTGCCCCGCTTTGACTGTGTCCTCAAACTCGTTCATCACTACATGCCCCTCCCTGAGCAACAACCAGGGCAGGCATCGCACCCTCGACGTGCCTACTATATCCACTCAGGTGAAGAGAAGATCCCGCTGGTGCTGAGCCGCCCCCTCTCCTCCAGTGTCTCCACTCTACAGCATTTGTGTCGCAAGACTGTCAATGGGCACTTGGATTCCTATGAGAAGAGGACCCAGCTTCCTGCTCCCATCAAAGACTTCTTGGACCAGTATGATGCGACTTTCTAAGGGGCTTTTTCAGCAGTATTAGCCCACGACACAAGCACAAGAGCAGAAAAAGAGAAAGGATGGAGATGGAGAATCCAGGACAAAACTCAACATCTTTTTTCCCCTTAGCATGTGGATTATGAAAGGGGCAGAGGGGCCCAGCACAGAAACTGTCTTGCTGTCGATAACTTGCCAACAGGGGATTTGTGCAAGTGACTGATGATGCTGTTGGGCTATGGAACAGGCTGTTGCTCCTTGATAAAACTGTCTCTCTGGCTTAGGATGGGCATGATAGAATGGTTTGCAAACTTCCTTAACCAACGGACCGTTTACAAAGAGCTGATTGCTCTGCACTGGACCAGACCACCTCTAATGATTTTTGACCAGAACTATTCTTCTGACAAAAGAATACATGCACTGGAATCCAGCTAGTGCCTGAAAATCAATGTTTTCCTCAGTTTTAAGGGGGAAATCTTTTTTATTGCGGTTATTGTTATTAATCTTTACCTCTTGCAACCTCCAGGAGGGACAAATCTCCTTTCAACCCAAGTCTCTTCCTCGGAGGTTGTCGCCACAACATTTTATTCATGGGACTAAGCCTTAAAAAAAAAATCCACATCCTCCATAGACTATTAATGAAATCCCATGAAGAAAATGCCATTCACTCTCCGGGCCATCATTCAGGCAAAGGACATAACTCTCTGAGATTTCTTTATTGCTTTTTGGAACACCAAACTGAATGTTACACGATCTGGTGTTTCTCCTGAGTGTTTATTCTACCTTGACTTTTCTGCTCAGGCTGCTAATTTCTTGCCTTCCTTTTTGGAATTTTAGCTCATCAAAAAATGGCATTACATCTATAACAGGGTGTGGATTTGTTTGGGTCCTCGATTGCACTGAATAACTGAAAACCGTACAGGAATGTAGCAACAAGAGAATTACCTGGAACTTTTTAATTTAACTTTTTTTTGTAAAAAAAAAAACAACCAAAATTTTGTGGGTTCATCTTATTTTTGCATATCAGGGTTTTAGAAGGGCAGATAAGGTTTTGTTTTTACAGAAAGAAATGTTTACAGACCTGCCTAAGAAAAATTGTTCTGTCTTTTATAAAGATTCCACCCTTCAGCCTTGAAGGCTGTTAGACATGCTTGAAGACTCCACCAAAAATCAAACTTGGAAGAAAACTTTGCACATCTATTTATATTTATATTCAAGGGACTTTAAAGACAGCATTCAATAATTTATAATAAAAAGCACTATTTTTTAAAGTAATGCTTTGACTCACTTCTCTTCTTCCCTCCCTGAATGTCTTACCTCCAATGTTATCTACATCCTAGATCCCAATCCAGTAATCTTTTAATAATAGAAAGCTTTGATCAAGAAAGACTGCAGTCAAAAGTAAGGCTGTTTTGCTATCATTAGTTTCAGTTGTAGTAAATGCGCATCTACACATCACTGCTTTTTCTAAGAAAAGCAAACGCTAGAAAGGCATTGACTCCTTATCACTGAGCACTGCTTTTTATCGCCACCTTGGACACTGAGATTCATTGCACACTCAGAATTAATTGATTCTGTGTGGAATGCACTTAAGTAATAACTGCTTCCAGCCTTTGGCATGGGAGGAAGGAAGTCTTCTGTGTCTATTTCTGAAATGCCATAGGGACACATAAAGGTTATCACTAGTGTAATAATGGCCATAGGACTTTGAAATATAAGTAATGATGAAAATGGCATTTACCCTGTTTGTTTTGTAGCCTATACAAGTATTTGAAGGCAAGCAAAAGCTGCTATCATGCCATTCTGTGCGTTCCTAATCACCCCCACAGAGCAAAACCCAGAAGCAAAAAACAAACCCAGGGGGTGTGGGGAAATAAGTCTCTGGATCAGCAAATGTTGTACATGCAGAATATTCCAAATTCAGTTGATGGCACTTAGAATTAGCAAGAAAACCTTTACCTGAATCCTGGACTAGTAGTGCCAGCCAGAGTAGTTAATCCAGAGCTAAATGACTGTTGCTATAAGATGTTATATTAGATAACACAATTTTAAATGAGTCCATCAAGCCCATTACTTATTTTTATTTATTTATTTACTATATTTCTATGCAGCCATATTTCAAAAGAACTCATGGTGATGTGAAATCAAAATTGTTGCTTTTCCCTTTGTGTTTATTCTCTCTCCTGCCATTTTTCTCCCAAGTAAACCAAATACCAAACAGCTTTGGCTAGAATAGATGAAATCAACCTAGGGAATTGTATTGGAAGAGGAACAATTGAACAAGCATCGTTTTCACCATTCAGGGTCTTGGTTATTGTTGTAATTATGGCAAAGCTAGCAGCTTTCCAGAAATGTTGACTTCCCATGTCTCATTAACCCTGCTCAGTATAATTAAGGGTTAGAAGTGATGGTAATTGTGATGGAATAACAATTTAAAGAGGCCCAGGGCAACATCCCTGACATAAGCAAATTCATGTTTCCCAGAAATAAGCAATGTAAAACACATCCCTTGATATGCAAACTTGTGAGGCTTCCTGCAATCTAACTCCATTTCCCATCATATCACAGCCAGACCACTGAGAGGTATGATAAGATAGCTTGTTTAGCTTTGGGAGCTTCTCAAGGGCAGTGGAAAGTTCTGGTGGAGAACGTGCTGTCTGCATGTCAGCTCCCTTCATGTGTTTGCAGAAAGCTGCTTCCTTATCACTCCTAACATTTGCTAACAAAATGGGGAGTGGAGGGGGTATCTTATAATGGACCCATTCAGAAGGATTCTAATTTTTTCCCGCCATGTATGTCTTCAATTGCATGATGTATATTTTACCTAAAACTGAGTCAACCCTGGTTTCACAAGTGGATTTTTTTTTGCCCACAAATTATCCCCCCTAAATAATATTCTCCTTTTCTACAGTATCCTTCAGTTTATGTCTCTATGTCTCTATCCCTATGTTTGCCTCTTTCCTTCACTGGTATCACTTCCCAAATTCATACCTGTTGTTTCCATCAGCTTACAGTTTCTTTGCTTCTTCTTCTTTAAAGTAACACACAGTTGTATATTTAAGCATGTAACTTTTTTATTTATTTGATGAAATGGCTACTGGTGTACACAAATACTTAGTATGGTATATATCCCCCGATAGCAACAGGACTTTTAATCATTTGGCCAGACCAAAACTTTCTACTCCAATCCTGTTATAATGGCCCTGATTCTCATTCTTCACACCCAACCACTCTGGGCGTGTGTGTTATATACATCACACACACACACATGCATATACACATATACATTACATACATGCATGCATGCATACATACATATAGAGATGATGCCTGTGCCTGTCCCAGGCCAGCAATATAATGCACTTAAAGATTAGCATTTCACATTACTTCATTTGAGTGACCACATAAAACAATTCTTTCTCTGGATTTCCTGAGAAAACAAAATAGATCTTTTTCCAGCTGAATTAGTTTTTTGAGAGGGGGTTGCTGTTTGTAAACAAGAATAATGAAGGAAAAACAAAAACACCCATGTTTGAATGAATCCATGGATAGCTATATATCCCACAAGCTATGAAAGCTAGGTACAAAAAAAATCTGGATACACACTTCAGGGGTTATCAATTATTCTTTCATGATCCATGGCATCTGAACATAGAATATGTCCTTTGGGCTGAAGGAAAAGAATCCCAGAAGTGTTTGGACTTTTCCAATCATCTACTAATAAGGTTGGGTGGGAGCACCAGGCTGGGAAAAGAGAAGGTATGTCCAAAACATAACACAGAGATAAAATAAGTTAGCTCAAAGTGTGTCATCTTTTGCTTTGGCATTGGCAAAGGCCATAATATCATCACCTCTATTTCAGTCAAGATTATTTTGCCTTTAAATAGTGAATGAGAGTCAGAAAATCACCTGATACGTGCTATCTTCACCCTGCCTCTCTATGCCAGAGATAACTGCACCCGTGGAATTCTTACTTGATATGTAGTAGTTAAAAATATACAGAAGCCATAAGGAGTAAAAGGGGGGACTGTCCAAAGCAGGGTACTCCAACCTTGGCCTGGCAGACTTCAACTCCCAGAATTCCCCCTTGTGGACTTCAACTCCCAGAATTCCACCTTGTGGACTTCAACTCCCAGAATTTCCCAGCTAGCAAAGCTGGGGCTGGGAAACTCTGGGAGTTGAAGTCCTCCAGGCTTAAAGTTGCCAAGGTTGGAGACCCCTGGTCCAAAGGGAAGTAGAGGCCCTGCTCCAGCAAAACAAGGCTCAGTTGCAAATAAGCCTGCAATTAATCCAGTCCTTTGTCTCTGCATTTGTAGAATGACTGTGATCATTCTAATCTTGCATCTTCAATTAGCAGAATAAAGATAAGGAGGACTGCACAGGTTCCTGGCCATGCCCCTGCCTGGCCCTCTGGCCTATTGTCCCAGCTCTGCCAGGAATCAGAGGTTCCTAGTTGAGTCACAGCTATGTCAAGAATGTCCAGCCCAAGTAAAGCTGGTGGCACCATGCCAAGCCCTGCTGAGGCACATTCCCAGCGTCAGTGCCATCTGATCCTGACTGGTCCACACCCCTTTCCTTGCCGAGATTTAGGTTGCTACAGCAACAGGATTAAAAGCTGGGATATCACTGTTATTCTTTGGCCTATGCCAGGAAATGAGAGGCCTCCCATCTCCTTTACTTCAGTTGCCGTCTATGGTATAGTAGCAGCCATGGAAATTTGAGGTCGAGTGCCTGCCTTTTCCATTAATGGTGGAGGATGAATAAATTAACCCTATCTAGGAGAGAGCTGAGAATACCCACTTTGAAAGGCTCTCAACATGGACAGCACATCCTATGAAAGAACTTCAGTTCTCCCTTGTTTCACCCAGATACCACATCATAATCCTCTCATTGTTTACCAACAGCTCTTACAATCTGAACCTGTCCCCATACAGATCTGCAAAGAAGGAAGAATTAAACCATTGCCAAGATTTTGATTGGTTACAAATATATTCTGATCTCTACACTGTCTCTCTTTTATATTAGCTTACCAACTGCAACTCTCTGGGATTTCAGAGCCATCCCCAGGAGCAGTTTTAAAATTACTGTATGGCATTTCATTTGAGTAGTTTGGAAAAGAAACTAATTATGTATGCTTGAATTCACTGATATTTACCTCAAGGAAGGGGGGGATGGATTCAATTGCCAGAATTATTTGGATTTAGATTCTCCTTGAGGGGAAGAAGAATGGTTTCCTCTTAAGTACTGAGTTATCTTGGACCAACCCAGCCTCTCCCCTTCTACCTTCTGAACAGTTTCTAGCTGTTTACTTCTGGACAAAACATCCAGCTGCAATGTGTTGCTGATTCAAAAAATCCAGGAAGGTTTGCAAATGCCTATCATTTCTTGGAATCTGCCCCAATCAGTAGTGACGTTTCTGGTCCAGGAGCCAACTTTAAGCAGAAGTTTCTCAAGTCTCATAATTGCTCCAGAAATTTCTCTAGTTCTGCATAATGCAGGGAACTGAGGGACTTTATCAGTAAGTGACTGTTCCTTTCCTTAAGTTCTCAAGCTCCAGCTTTCATAGACTTTATGTCACCAGGGGAAAAAGTCGTTGAATGGGGGAGTGGGTGGACCCGCCTTGCTGAACATAGTAATAAACTTCAGCCAATAGGCCCTAATTTGACTGGCAGGAAATACCCTGTCCCAACAGGAAAGTATCTCCACCAAATGCAGGATGCACAGCCCTTATCTAGTGTTTTACACAATTAACCAGTTCCTGTCAGCCAGTGTTCAGAGAATGTAAAACAAGCACTTGCCAGAATTATGTATGAGTAGAAACTTTTCGAAACATCAAAAAATAGATTGGAAATATTTAACACAAGGACTATTGCAAATTCATAAATAGTGATAAACTTGAGGTCAATTTAACATATACTCAACCTTCATTCTCCACTTGCCATTATACTGACTTTTGTTGTTGTTGTTGTTGTTGTTGCCCAGGCCAATTTCGGATTGTATTGCTGATCCCAGAAGGGATCATGACTATTTATATAGTGATCCTTCCTAAAGAGAACCAACCCAAATCAATTTCGTTACTG